TCAGACAAAAAATGACAAAGAAAGTCATTTCACCTCTAGGTCACCAGAGGTGAAATGACTTTTCACCTATGGTGTCTCTCTAGTGACCATTAGGTGATTGCTTAGTAGATTATGTGCAAGAGTTGGTGGTCATAATCCATTTTCCAATGGACCAGGTCCCTGCCTCGTGAAAGCTGTCACTACATGTTTATCTAAGCATCAAGAAATGGGAATTAACATGAACAGAGCCTGAATTGTGTTTGTCTTGCATTAGTAAAACCTCAGAGCCTCTCTAACACTTGTTTCAGTGGATCAGTCTTTCTCTAGGGTCATCTTTCCAAGCCAGGAAGGGTCGATGCAATGTCAGTGCTGTCAGACACCGGTTGCACTTTGGTGTCTGGAGCATGGGGTTCCTGTTCAGACATGCTTACAGTGGCACAGCTTGCATTTCTGGACATCCTAGAGTAGCACATCCTGTAGCCTTCATATTGCCCAAGTGTGATCAAGCTGATGTACTTCATACCGACCATATTGGTATTTTAAATGGAAGACCTAGAATGAGCACTACTTAGTTGGTAAAACTGAGCACAGAGCTACGGGCCAGATTTCAATGGTAAAGTAACTGTCTGTGACTTCTCCTGTCAGTAATTATAACGTCACCAACTGTAAAGCACAAATTAGGGACCTGGCCATGAGAGCCAAGCTAAAAATGCCAACTCGCTGAACAAAGGGTCGGGTGATGGGTGCTAGACGTCTAAGCGTGTCCTTCACTGGAGACATCTGCATGTGCATAGCAAACAAGGCACTGGTAAAAGAACTGATGTGTGTGCAGGCATATGCATGCAGTTGCTTACAGCTGAGATACTGAGCCTGAATATATAACAAGGTTATGTGCTAGAGAGTATAAAAGAGCTGGGATTTAGGAGTCAACCTCTTTTTGGCTGACCAAGTTGAGAGACTATAGAAACATCAGGTTCCAGGGCAACACTGGAGACAAGAATATGCATTTTGCAAAGCATTGTAAAAACCTGAAGGATGTAGAATCTAAAACTATGTTGTTATAGAGGAGAACGTGCCATGGCTTTTGCAAAGCCCCTGAAATATCTTTCCTGTTCTGTTTAGGTTTTCTCTCTCCCAGGCTTACTTCTGTACAGTGCTTTCTTTATAGTGGATAGAACAACTGAGCAATTACAACTAAAACTGCATTCATAATAAAGGTAAGGTTTTAAGTGTAAAGGCTAACAGGACAGAGAAAAAGGACAATTAAAGATCATCAGTTCCACAAAAAAAACAAAGATCTCAGAAGCTACATGACTTGAAAAGGACTGACCTCTATGTAGCTTATGTGGTTGAAAATCCTCTCCTATGTATTTGCAGTATTAATTCCTCTTGTTATCTGAGGAGATCTGCTTTAATCAGATTCCTACAAACAAGTCAGGTACTTAGAGCAGAAGATCTTTGACACCCCTGCTGGCAGCACCAGTGAAGAGGCTGAAGACCAGTGCCGTAATGAGACCAGCTAACCTTTTCATCTCTCTGAAAACCTTTTGGCATCAGAGGGAGTCCCCCCGTTTCCCCCCTCCAGTCTCTCAGCTGTGGTCATTTAACATGCTTTTTTGCAAAAAGCTACCTCAGAAGTCTCACATTTCAAAGACAGCAGTTCTGAACCGATGCTGCTGCTCTGTTCTGAAACCTCCTCTGTCACAGTGCCATCTCCTGTGCTATCTTGCTGCTTCACACAAGCACTGTACCTGAAATCTGGATCAAAAGGAGACTCATAAATTTGATCCTGCTTCTCTGCCTTTAGTGCAGCTTCTCCTACCTCCTATTTTCTAAGTTTCTGGCACTGGTGCCCTAATAATGCTGGTCCTTGTTTTAAATTTAATCTCATTTCCACACAGAACTTAAGCCAGAGAAGGCAATGCCATTTGATATCCTCCAAAGACCTTCATCCCACAGAGCACGTGTGTTGTACGTGGCAAAAGGAGCTTGATGGCTGCATTGAGGACACTAGAGACAAGTAAGCTGACAGTTTAGGTTGCCTCATTCTTTAGACTTATCCGTGGAAGAAATCCTAAGTAGTTTGTGCCTGGTTACCCAAGTAGTGGATTTTCCTCCTGATGGTATGAGATACAGTGCAGCAAAAGTGCTACAACTGCACAAATCCAGGAACCACAGGACAAGCTTTAATTGATGTGCTTCTTTGTCCAAAAATGGCTGTGTTCATTATCAGGAGCTGGTAGTTAAAATAATCTTAAAATGTTTTCAAGGAAACAATGAGTGAAAAAGCCTCATCCAAAAATCACTGTGCTTTATCAGAGGAATAAAGACCTCACTGATCAATTAGCTTGAAAAATGAATAAATCAAGGACAAAGTTGAAGTTTAGCATCTTAATAAGCTATTGTTGTCACAGCCCAGTTTGAACATATCACTCTTTTGTTGACATTTTTAATGCTTTCTGTGGATTACCAGTACACAACCAGTATATGAAAGCTTGTTAAGCCTCCACGTGCTCAGCCTGGCCCTAGCTTTAATGCTGGCTTAGTGCAATCTCTGCTGCTGGCACAAGGTCCGCGGGACTTAAACCTTGCAGTGCTGGGCATTGTGTTTCTCGCTAATCATTGTATGGGCTTACTCAAGTGTGTTTTACAAGCTTAGGGCAAATTTGTGAAGGTCCAATTATCTATATGTAACTTTTTTAAGAGGAGCCAACCAGACTTCTTTTTTTTAGCTCTGGATCCTGCGGTATCTTTCTGTAACTAATGGGGAGATGTGTTCAGCCTGGCTTCCAGCTCCAGCTGGTGTTTCCTTTCCTGATCAACAGAGAAGGCAGTGCGTTAGCCCATTCAAACTGCACAACTCTCGCATCCCTCTCTCCTGGTCCCCTATGGTGAATTTAAAGTTCAGAATGTTTTATAAATGCCTCAATCTTACGGCCTTTTGGATAAAATCTGTTATGGCAGCTTCCAGCAAGGTGCAAATTAAAATGCTGGGTTTGATAATTCTTTACTTACTCACAGAGCTTTCAGCCATGCAGTGCTACCTCAATTTTGAATTGGTATTGCAGACTGCTGTAAGTTTGAGGCAAAGTTGTTGATCACATATCTCTCTTCTTTCATTTAGAGAAAAATAACAAACTATGTATGAGAATCTCGCTTTATGTTTAGTTTTGTTGTTGTTGGTTTTCCTTTTCAGTCATTGGCAATTGAAATTCTGTGGTCCTAAAATGAAGCAAAGAGATTTTCCTTCCTCGAAAGATGCCACTTGCATTGCATTGCACAGACGTGTTTTAGAGTTAGTGCCTGCAGTGTGCATGTGGAGTTTTATCCCACCTTATTTTTAAACTGTGCGTACCTCTTGTTCACAATTGTCCTGGGTTCAGCAGTAGCAGTCATGTTTTTTTTTTCCTTTGTGTTAGCTGGTGCAGTGCTGTGTTTTGACTTCCAGCCTGGGAACAGTGCTGGTGAAGCCGATGTTTTCAGTTGTTGCTAAGTGATGTTTACCCTTACTAAGGACTCTGTGAGGCTCATGCTCTGCCAGGGAGGAGGGGAAGCCGGGAGGAAGCAGAGACGGGGCGCCTGACCCAGGCTAGCCAGGGAGGTATTCCATACCACAGCACGTCACGGCCGGGGTGGGGGGTAACTGGGAGTTACCTGGAAGGACACGAGCTTCCGGGTGGGACTCGTTTTCTTGGCAAGTGGTATCGTATTCTCTTCCCTTGTTATTTTTCCTTATCATTGTTGTCGTTGGTGGTAGCGGTGGTGATTTGTGTTGTACATTGGTTGCTGGACTGTTCTTGTCTCAACCCGTAGGAGTTGCACTCTTTCGATCCTCCTCCCCATTCCTCCGGGAGCGGGGAAGGGGAGAGCCCCGGTGGGGGGGGGACACGGACCTCGATTGTTGTCAGCTCGGCACCACTCACTGGGAGTGAGTGAACAAGTTGCCTGACTGGGTTTAAACCACGACAACAATCCTATTCCAAAAATACCTAGGGTTATCCTTATCATATTGCCCAGCTAACGGTAAGAAATAGGCTCAAGTGGCTCAGTATGGATTAGATTCACCTCTTATGCAACAGGGTGCAAGATCCAGGGAGAAGCCAGAGACCTGCCTCATGAAGAGCTCTGCCCTCTGTGAGCCAGGGAATCCCTTGGCAATGTCTCTTGCATATGCCAAGATGCTTCCCACTGACTTCACTGGAAGAATGCTGCACTGGAAAGGCATTCATTTGTTTCCAAAGGCCAGGATAAACAAGGTCTAGAGGTTTCTGATACTTACATTAAATCACTCAAAGTGTTAATTACAGTTTTTGTAACCGTAATTAGTATTTTGTTATTTGTTTCCTTTTAAGCTTACCAGCTCTGGCTTACTTGGGAAATAGGACAAGTGTCTACACTTGTTTCTTCCAAATGCAGCTGAACAGATCCAGCCTATGGGAAAAGCATCCTTGCCATCTCTCCAGAAGGACATTTTGCCAGTTTTCTAGGATTTTCAGCCCCATTCACAAGGTTCGCTGGGCCTTCTGCTGTTTCCACCAGTTGTTTTCCCCTCAGCCTCATCTTGCCTCTCTTCGCCTTTTCCACATTTCCCTCCTTTCTGCCCACATTCCCAAAAATCAAATAGCTTCCTCATCCTGCACCTGCAGATCAGGTTAGATGGATGTTTTTTCAGACACCGTATATCTGTTCTTGTGTGCTGAGTAGTCTTTCTCCTCAGGTGTCTCTGTTCACCTTTGGTTGCCAAGTTCTTGCACCAGATGTTTTGATCATTTACTGACAACAACTGGGAGTTCAGGTATTTGGTAAACACAACCCACAGCAAGGAATGGATTCTGCATGTTCACTCAGGAGTCTTCAGTCAAAGATATACCCAGTGCAAAAGTATTTCAGGGTCTTCTCATGGCTGCAGTGGCACCACAGGAATTAAATTCATAGCTTATAAATTGTGCTTAGCAGTGAGAAAAACACTGAGCCTAGTTTCTAAGTATTTTATGTAATGATCTGTAGAATCAATAACTGTTTGGTTTCCTGCTCCCACCACAGGCTGGACTCTTGCTGAGTCAGTAAGGATCCAAAAGGAGATACCATGTGAAATTGTGTGATGCTGCTATGCAAGCAGTTCCTTGGTTGGAGATGTGGAGAGCACCTTCCTCAGCTTCCTCAGCTCTTCAGCAGGTTGCATGCAGTTGAGCTCTGTAGTTCACTTTCTTGGCAGGTGTTATTACACCTATTTTTTTAGCTAGATAAACCAAAACATTTGTCCCAAATAACTCTATGAATAAATAAAGCTAAAAAAATGGTGTCCCTGCCCACGGCAGAGGGGTTGAAACCTGGTGATCTTTAAGGTCCCTTCCAACCTAAACTGTTCTATGATTCAATATGGGCAGTCCTCCTCTTGCAGCAACATCAAGACTACCTGTAAAACCCAGGGCATTCATAGTGCTCAACTACTCTGTAAGCTCTGGGCAGTAGGAAGCCACAAACTCCTTTCAATGAACAGTGGAAAATTCATTCCCAGATGAGAATTCCACATAAAGCATGTCACAAAACAGGGCCCTTCTAAGCCGTATTTTTCTGTGTAGAAGTAATGACAAAATGTCAGCTCTCTGCACAGTGACTCATCCCCAGAGCATCATGTGCCCTTGTAAAGATAGGTGTTCAAAGCCTGTCTTAAAACCTAACCTATAGCACAGCAAATGCCAGCTGGTAACCAGCTCTTGAATCTCACTTCAGTTTCCACATCCCCCTGCCCATCAACACAATGAAACACCAAGTGTTTGTTCTAATGTTAAACACCAGCTATGATTTTTAAATACCTTTAGGTCATACCTACAATTAGGAAAACAGTGACTCAAATCCAGAAGTGCCCCTTCTTGTTGGACTCTGAGTATCCCAAGGTGAAATAAAGGGTGAGTTAGATTTGTTATAGCTTTTTTCTCTTTTTTTTTGGTCAACTATTCAGTGTTGCTCTTCATTATTTTTTCTATCCTTTTGAAAGCTTTAAAGCCTTCCTCCATAACTGCCTCTGCTCCATTCACTGCTGAGTGGACGGTGCGCTGATCTTTTTCTCGGTGGGTAATGGATTTGGTTTGATTGCTTGACACAGGAACAATAGAGGGATAAACAATTGCATTCGCGCCCATGCAGCTCCCCATCTGTTGAGCGTGTGCGCCTTCAGAGGGAGCCAGTCAGGGACAGATGAACACGCCAGCCGAGCCTGATGTTAATGACATCAGTCATACAAGCAGAACATGTGGCGCAATAAATCAAAACCTAATTGAACTTTTGCTTGATTACATTGCCGTCCCACTGCCCGTTTCAAACATGGTGCTGTTTCCTGGGACAATACCCCCGACCGTGCAGTGGTTTTGCTGCCTATGGGAGGTAACAAGTGGTATCAGCTTCTCTTCATTCGTTTCTTTCTTGAAACAGTGATGCCTTCCACTTGAATAAAATGCTTCCATGCTCAGGATGTGTTATTTGACCAATATTTATATTTCAAATAAGAAACATTACATGGATAAGACAGTGACAGCACATGTTTGCTGGCACTTTCCATCTAGGACTGTTGGTGGCAGACGTCTATAGGAGAAGACAGCACTAGTTTTTGTGTTAATTAACACACACGTGCTAGTAATGAAGGCTATTCATTAGACTGATATAATTTAATATCATTATTCACACTTGAAAGTGTTTCTGCCACATCAGCTGCTGGAGCCCATGAGCCAGTATTTTCTATCCTAGGTGTCCATGGCAGCAGTGAGTCACCAGAAGTTGGGGGGGCTGATTGTCATAAATGGGGAAAAGAACAGTTTCTGATGGGAGCATTAAGGAATTAAAAGCTTTGGCAACAAGACCCTTTATTGAAGTGCATAAATATGGACTTAGACCCCAGAACCTAAGTCATGTAGGAACCCATCTATGACTGAGCCACCTGCCCTCCCTCTGCAGCCACTGAAGCAGGGGGGCATATAGACGTACGCATGTCTGCCTGACAAGCCCTTCTTTCGTCATGTGCATTTGAAATTGCAGATGACTAAAGAAGATCAGGATTCAGGTGTAAGTTTATGAACTTAAAAGGTAAAACACAAAATGCTTTTCTTAATATGCTCAGAATCAGTTCCTCATTATATGGGAGGAGCAATTTTTACAACAAATGTGTTAAAGTACACAAAGTATTAACCCAGCTGATTTTAAAAGTCCTGGCAGAACTTCTGTCAATGTTTATTCGCCCATACATTGGCTGCACAGAACAGACTTTAATTATTAGCCATTTATTGCAGAGGATTCTCCAAATGGGTAAAAGGAGACGTAAAATAAAATGCTCTTATCTGAGTAGATGCTTAAGTAACAGCTAAATTAAATCTTTGCATTAATAGTATTCATAGAAAGGCAGATGGGAGCAGAAAATGTTGCGATGAAGAATATGGAATGAGATGAGATCACAGCATCAGTCTGTCCTTTGTAGATCTGGACAATGATCACAGAGCCAGATTGGATTAGTGAAACCTATTTACCAGAAGTTCAGAGCGGTTGCATGAAGCAGAAAGGCAGTCAGTAAGGAGAGGTGGAAAATGCACCAGATTTACAGCTGCAGCGACGAGAATTTAGAAGTTTTCACCACTGTGATTTCATCCAAATGTGAGTACATCAAAACTGTAACAACCTCTGCGGGGTTGTCTTTTAGATGGATGGGGTGTTTAGCATCAGGAAAATCTCTGAAGTGAGCAGCTTATCTGTTCTGCTGTGCTCTGCTCGCGGTCCAGTGCTTGCTGCTTGTTTCTGGAGCTAATCCGTGCAGGTGCTTCGACACTGTGGCTGTGTAAAATCTTTGCGCTGGCAAAACTGGGAGATCTGGAATCAGTGTTGATATACCTATGAGGTAATTGCTAAAGTGACAGCTTGCAACTGTGTGGCTATTCTGTGTAACAGAAAAGAAAATGAAGCTCTGCTAGCAGTTAGCAGCTCAGATGAAGTGGGTGAACTGCATGAATGTTGAATTTAAGTCTGCTGGCTCAATAAGTGGAACATTTCCAAAGCCATGCCCTGGAAATGAATGCATGATTAACATTAATTGCTTGTAATGAAGAGTAAGAACCGGACAAAGCCCAGTCTGCATTTGATTGAACAAATTAGTTTAAACTCAATGGCTGCATATTTCAGCAACAAGAAAGCAGGTAAAAACAGGGAAAACAAATTGTGGGGCCAGGTCAGAGCTTTACTTGCAAGCTGCGAGCATGAGCTTTCAGCTGCTTAATTTCAGAATATAAGTGGAAATGACAAAGTGAACCATCACTGTAATTGTTTTTGTTGCCTGAAAGCTGGGTCTGTACGTACAGACATCCTTTTGCAGGCAAACCCAGAAACATCATCTGCAAGGATTCATTCTTCCCTTCCTGCTCCCACTCCCTGCAGAAAATGATGTTTGCAGGGAGAGCACTGTTTGCATTGCTGCCTTTGTATGCCTGCACAAGTGGGTCACTGCTGGCTACCTCCATGGTTCACTCTTCTTTCAATGGCTATTCAAGTAATTGCATGTTTGCTGGTGCTGGGACTTCCCTTTCATGCCTTGCCTTTCTTCAGCCCCTGTAAGCCTCTTGCTCTGGCAGACAACAGGCAGTGAGTTGGGCTGTGGATCATATGTACTCGGAAAATACGCAAATTTATTGCCGTTTGCCACATTTATTGTGGTCCCTTGTGCACTGGCCTGGGTACCAGTAACAGCACCAAATTACTTGCTCTTTTTCAGTACCTACATAAACTGTGCTGCTCACACTGCCCAGAAAAATCCATAAAACACGTAAGAGACAAGAAGATAATGCTTTGCAATGCTAAACTTCTCTGCACTTGAGTGTTTTGCTTGTGAGCAATTAGTTAAGTTCTCACACAGTGAAATTCCTAAAGTAAAGTTGATTGCAGCAGCTTCCAAAACAACTTACGACATATTCCTAGGAAAAAGCCCAGCTTCATAATGCTGATCTGGTTTTCATCCCCCACTCACCAGGGTTTAAAATATAAAACGTGCCCTGCAGGAGAAGGCAGCAGGTTCCCTGAGGTTATTACACCATGCAAAACAGACTGTAATTGAACTGACAGCTTAGCACGCTCTCAAACTCTATGCCAGGAGATAACTTACTTGTGATGAGTTCCATGTGGAAGTACACTGTGCTGCAATGGGTCACTGGCAGGGACCCTGGACAAGATCCATCACCACCCCTGTCACTGTCCTCTTTCACTGAGGGCAGAGATAAGCCCAAAACTGTGTTTCTGTCCAGTGGAGACCTAATACTCAGTACTTACAACCTCACTGGGTATCAAGGGATGGCTTTTAGGGAAACAGAAGCTGTCTAGGAAGAGTGATCCCACTGCCAGCTCTGCTTGTACCAAAGCCTGGAAAGCCCAGTCCCTTACTCTTGCCATCAGAGGAGAGGCATTTGGCTGCAGTACAAGCAGCCTTGGATGACCTCCAGCTGCTTCCACAGCTTCAAACCTCATTACAAAAATTCATACATAGCAGTGATAAGCACTGAAACTCCTGGATTTGAATGTATGCCAAAAATGTAATGGAAAGCTCACCTGGGGAGTAAGAGTCACCTCTCATCCCATAACAAACCTTCCTGGCTCTTCAAAGCCTTTGGATTATGCATGGAGCTTGAATAGGAAACCCCCATTCATGTGTGTTGCCCTCGGGGTCAACCTTTAGAATTGCAGTTAATTCACCCCATTTGGCAGGTTTTTGCTGGCCTGTTTCTGTCAGTGGCTGCTAAATCCTGTAGCCTGAACACAGGGGAAGGTAATAACTTTAAAGAGCAAAGGGTTAGATATGATGAGAGGGAGAGCTGGGGCTATCACAGAGTCTTTCAGGCCAGTTTCAAGTCAAACTGAAACAAGAAGTGTTTAAACACTCTTCACTTTGTCCAAAAAAAAAACACCTCACTCCAACCAGTCACTTCAGTGCAGCCAAAAGGATAGGCCTCTCCAAAGTTGAAAACATTGGCAGGTGGGAGGCCAGATCAAAACTCAGGAAGGAGAAGCATGGTTCCTCCTTGAAGCCTATTGGAGAGCTGCAGAAACTTAGGGAATGCTGTTGCCCTGTGCCCACGTTGCACAGTTGCACAGCTAGAGCATGGTCTCTGAGATGACATTAAAGAGTACTTTCTTTTGGGTTGTCTCAGCTGGAATGCTCCTTAAACTCTTACTTCTTCCCCCCTTCCCCCCCCCCCCCCCATGCCCTCCAATATCGTCTCATGCAGAACTTCTAGAGGGATGTGTAACCTCATCTTGTACCTTTCCACTGCATCCTGCATCCTGACCGTGTTCCTGTTCTTCTTTCACAGCATGTAGTCCTGCCCGAAGTCGAGCCAAAAGTACGCAGCACATCCTAACAAAGAGTGTAAGAAAAACCTCCCTTTCTCTCCCTCTCTTTTTTTCCATTCTAGTTGACTACACTTACTCTTAAAAATGCCATGGATAAATGGGAAGCACATCTTCCAGGGCAAAGTGTATCAGTGTCTGATGCAAGGAGTGGGGTGGGAAACAGAAAGGGGAGTTTCTGTAAAGCTATAGTTTATTTACAGAAGCACTTTGAAACTTCAGAAACTATGGTCTTGCTATGCATAGCCAGTCAAAATGAACACAGCAGCTTATCAACATGGGCCATCTGAGGGAATCACAGACTTAATTCTTATCCATAAAGCCTTAATGATAACACCAGAGGGACAGCCAGGGATGAAAAGCAAACAAGTTGTATCACTACCTGTATGCATTAACCAAGGAGCCAGTATCCCATTCCCTGAGGAATGTGGGAGAAAACACCAAGCAATGAACTGTAACCTCAACTCAAAAAGATGGCTCTGAGAGAGCCACAGGAGGATGCTTGTCCTTTGATCCCGAGGTACTTCCCGCCCTCAACTCACCTCCTGTGCACTGGCACAGAGTACACAGCTGGAGCTTTACCTGCTCCCTGCAGGTGGTGCTTTCCAAGTCTGGGCACTTTGACACATAGGTCTGAGTTTTCTTGTCTTTAAAGCTAGTTTTCCCTCCTTAAATCCACTTGAATCATTCACAACCCCTACCATGGTCCTCTCATTGCAGTTCTGATTTACAGGAATGACTGCCTGTTTCTCTTGTGCATATCACAGCACTTTTAACAAGCTTTGAGACTCTTCTGCTGAAGCATTTCTTCTCACTACAGGCCTGTCTCTTCACTAGCACTGGCTCCATGGCCTTCTCTTTTTCCATGCCCTATCCCACTTTGAAGCCCCATCCTTATTTGTAAATAGCCTCTTCTTCATATTCCTGATTCCCCGATCTCCTCACAACACTGTGGGTCCCCCCTTGTCGTTATTTGAGCCCAGCTCAGAGCCATGCAGCTGCTTGCTCACTTCCCACTCCTCTTCCCCCTCTCCCAGAGGGATGGGGAGGAGAATCGAAAGAATGTAAGTCCCATGGGTTGAGATAAGAGCAGTCCAGTAACTAAGATATAACACAAACCACTGCTGCTACCACCAATAATAATAATAATGATAACGGAAATAACAAGGGAAGAGAATACAACCGCTCTCCATCTGCTGACCGATACCCAGCCCAACCCGATCAGTGATCTGACTGTTCCGGGTAACTACCCCCAGTTTATATAGTGGGCATGACGTGCTGTGGTGTGGAATACCTCTGTTTAGTTTGGGTCAGGTGTCCTGTCTCTGCTTCCTCCCGGCTTCCCCTCCTCCCTGGCAGAGCATGAGCCTCAGAAAGTCTTTGGTCAGAGTAAACATTACCGAGCAGCCACTAAAAATATTGATGTTATCAGTGCTGTTCCCAGGCTGAAAGTCAAAAACACAGCACTGCACCAGCTACTAAGACAGAGAAAAATGACTGCTACTGCTGAACCCAGGACACCCCTACTTACCACACTTACCTGCAGCTGGAAAAAAACCACACACAATCCCATCCCCTCACTTGGTTATTATGGTGGACCACAGGATCCCAGTACTTAACAGGATGCCTGAAGCGGTACCCAGGAAGGGTCAATAATGTGTCTGTCATATCTGGGTAGAAACTCTGTATGTGTGTATTTTCTCAATTTGTGAAAATCTCATTTTTGTCCTGTAACTCAGGCTCAGGTTTCAAAATGACCTTTCATTCCAAAGGAGGATGAAAGTCAGGGTGCTGGAGTCTTACTCAAAATAAGCCATTTTGGGATACCCCTTTTTTATTTGTTACGTCTTTGGTATATTTTGTTTTCTATGTTTACAAAACAGCATATGTTTATGTTCATATGTTCTATGTTTACAAAAACAGCATAAAAGTCCAATCTAAAAGTTAACTATTCTGATTTAATGGAACAGAATGCTCAGATAATTTATCTTTCTTTTTTTTTGACAAAATTTATACTTTACAACAAAGTGACCAGATTTCTAACAAGAATTTCTCATAAAACTATTCAGCTGGAAAATTTTCAGCTAGTTCTCATTGAAATATATGGCACCTGTATGTCAAAGTTACAAACCTCAGCAGATAGGGAGTTGTATTTGCTAAATGGGAACCTCTGATATTTAACTTGGATTCGATCAGCTGCTGTAACAGCACAGTACTTACAAAGGTCTAAGAAAGTAAGATAAGAAAGTCCCTGTTTTGTTGCTGTATTTTTAGAGGGTTTTTTTTTTTCCCTTTGGGGCTTTCCTGACCCCAATTAAAGATGTCCTTTGATTGGCCTTTAGCCATGATGCAGGCAGCATCATTAGCAGTGGGAGCATCGAGCCTGAGGAATAGTCTGCAGCTCCAGTTGAGAAAAGAAGCAAGGCTCTCAAGCCAGAGCAGCTGGCACAGTCAGCTCTTTGTGCATTCCCCTTCTTCAGTATATGATGCAGCTGCTTGCAGCTCCTGCACAAGAGTTCAAACACATTGCCTGTACTGGAATACACATGCCTGTGAGGAAGTTGTGATTGTCAATTTCTAGACCCACAGAAAAGTAGCAGAATGATTGTTTGGTTTTCACTTTTACATCGGCACCTGCAGTCAGTGCTGTGGAAATGCTCCCAGCTAATGTGAAATCTTCTGGTCTGGTGATTGCAGTGGATGCACAACTTTAATCCTTAGCAAGGGCAAAAATAGCAAGCAAGGTGGACATCTGCCAGACCTATTTTTTGCTGCAGAAATACTCAAGCAGTGCAGCATTAAGTGATTTAACAGTCAAATGACTGACCTTTGGGGGTAACTTTCATCACATTCAAGAACCCATCCCAAAAGCACAGTCAGGAGTATGGAAGGATGAGAGAGAGGGGAAACATCTTTTTTTTCACTAGAGTGTTTCACCAATACACTTATTTGCAGTTCCTATTGCCCTATTAGGAGTTATTTCAAGTGATAGTAGATCCTTCTCTTCTCTTCCCTTGCTCTTCTAGCCCCAAAATTCTTCAGGTGGAACTGTCTGGATGCCAGTACCTGGCTACTTTGCATAAAAATGTCAAATCCCTCTGTGCATGCTAGTGCTGCCACATTAAAAATGAGATCACCATTAGACTATCAAAAAAGGCTTAACTCTGCAAAGCACCTTGTTGTTCAGCCTTTCAGCTTCAAAGCTTTATTATAAGCCAGATGTTTAATTGTCACCTTTTCTGGTTGGTTGTTGGTTTGGCAGCGGGATTTTGGGTCTAGGAGCAGCATTGTTGGAGCAGCCTCTGCTCTGCTCTGCAACCTTCCTGTGTCATCTGTGCTCCCTGCTTAACATAGCTAATTCTGACAGCAGGTATGCCAGGCCTGAATGCTCTCACATGTATGTAAAGTCCACAAAAGAGACTTTGGTAAGCTCTGAATTCAGAGTTGGTGTCCTGCAAACAAATTGGGCAGGTCAAGGGACATACAGGTTCTTAAACCAGTAGCTCTTTAGAGAGCAGTACACTAATTCTGCATAGTTTGGCTGGCTCTGCCATTCACACAGGTTTTAATTCTCTGGTATGTCTAGAAAAGAAAAGTGACTTGCAGCTAATCCTTCTGCCTTACCCTAGGCACCCTAGAGAAATGTCAGGTCCAGTTTAGATCAAAACTGTGCTACAGCAGGTTTAGTTTCCTGACCTAGATAAGTCTTCACATATTACAGTAATGGGTGAGGTAGCCAAAGTCACGGTGAAATCTTGAATTAGGAGATAAGGAACACTAAAATGTGCTACAGCCAAATGCTGCAAACTAAGATGTTCATGAAAGATATGCTATAGAGATTGTGCTGTTGTCTCCAGCTGTAATGGAAAATGGCACTGTAGCTTATGTATAAAGATTCTGCTTTTTAGCATTTTGGTATTACTGACATGACATCTAAAAAGGAATCTTGGAAACATAGAAAGTAATAGAATCATAGAATAGTTAGGGCTGGAAAGGACCTTAAGATCATCTAGTTCCAACCCCCCTGCCATGGCCAGGGACACCTCACACTAAACCATATCACCCAAGGCCTCATCAAACCTGGTACTGAACACTGCCAGGGATGGAGCATTCACAACCTCCCTGGGCAACCCATTCCAGTGCCTCACCACCCTAACAGGAAAGAATTTCCCCCTTATATCCGATCTAAACTTCCCCTGTTTAAGTTTTAACCCGTTACCCCTTGTCCTACCACTACAGTCTCTAATGAAGAGTCCCTCCCCAGCATCCCTAGAGGCCCTCTTCAGATACTGGAAGGCTGCTATGAGGTCTCCACGCAGCCTTCTCTTCTCCAGGCTGAACAGCCCCAACTTTCTCAGTCTATCTTCATACGGGAGGTGCTCCAGTGCCCTGATCATCCTCGTGGCCCTTCTCTGGACTTGTTCCAACAGTTCCATGTCCTTTTTATGTTGAGGACACCAGAACTGCACACAATACTCCAAGTGAGGTCTCACAAGAGCAGAGTAAAGGGGCAGAATCACCTTCTTCGACCTGCTGGTCACGCTCCTTTTGATGCAGTAATGTGCCTAATTCCTGTTATTAATGCAGTTAAAAATCCTGCTTCCTTTTCCCAAAGACTTTAATCTTCTTGAGAAAACTGTTTCTGGATCATCCTGGGTAACAGTCCTGATGGATCCACTTGCTCTTGGAGCCTGTTCCTGTTTTTTTTAACTCACATTAGCCTGTGGCAGCACAGTGAGTGCCATGGCTTAGTCATGCTCAAAGTAGAAAAGAACTTACTGTTGTTCACATTCGTTTTCAGGGCTCTGTTCGAGATACAGGGGGGTAGTGTTCAAAGATGCAGCTCTCAGTGAATTTTGTTTGTGCAAGCTAATGTCTGTGAACATTAACCCCTGGGAGCACAATTATTCATTGTCTTGTACCCTCTGTAATCATTACCAGGTATAAAATGTAAGTAAGTCTAAAAGATGGGAAAGGCCATGAAAAAATAACATTTGTAGTTCACATTTAACTGATTGCCCAAGACATGACGCAATAAGAAATTCAATTTGAGCTGTCTCAAAGGCATATTGATCTTGAAAAGAACCACATTTCTCCTGAGGAGAATACAGAGAGCTGTATCAAAGTAGTGGGTTCCAGAGAGACCCCATGTGGCTTTCCCATACTTTTCTATATCTCGTGCACAGAGGCAGGAGCCAAACAAAACAAACACCACAAATCCCACCCAACAAGTCCCCTCAGATGATGGGAAAGCAGTGGGAAGAGCAAACACTATACTGCTCCCCGTCTCCAAGGCCATGTATAACAGGATGGCTTTTCCTTTCGCTGTAGGTGGTAGCCATATCCAACCACCGGCCCCACAGGACCGAGAAGCTGCATCCTCACCAGGGTGACCTCCTCCAGGTGCTGTACAACAGAGAAGAGGTGCAGGGCTTGGGCTGCCTGCAGAGCCAGCAGCGGGGACCCTGCCCTGCCAAGGGTGCTGCCCAGCACGGTGAGTCTGCACAATGGCTTTATTCCTCTGCGGCTTATGAACATTGTTAGATACTGCAGTCTGCCAGTTTGCAGGCAATTTGTTATGGATCTGAAGGATACTTTCATGCTTAAAATGTCCAGTGGAATTAATGAGAAAACAGCCATGGCATTGCGTAGCTCTTGCTTTATTCAGAGTCATAAACTCGCTTTATTCAGAGTCAAACTCACTTTATTCAGAGTCATAAACTCACTTTATTCGGAGTTATGAGCGCTCCCTTTCCAAAGGGTGATGATATTTTAGGCATGATATTTTGTGAATTACTGAGTTTGCCTGAGTCATTTTATTATATAAGATCCCTGTTCAGTTGCTTGGAACTTGCCGGAACACAACAATTTGGGATGAAATTTTAGATTCTGTATGTTGGCCACAGACTTGATTTTGGTTTTCCAGACAAAACTTGTTCAACATATTTGTGAGAACTAGTGAAGGGGAAAGAGAGGTTTCCAAAGCAAAACCAAGGAAATGAGTAAACATAAACAGACTGGTCATTCAGCTCCTTCATCGCTGACGTTTGGGAGGTTGAAGCTGGAGCAGGGCCATGCAGTTTGGCAAGGGGTGGCCTTTTAATCAAAAACTCATCTTCTGCTCTCCCTTGAAAAACAACCCAGATGCAGTCAAGTCATAATCCTTTGAAAAAATCTGGTATGGCACGTGTTTGGTGGAGATATTGGACATTTAGCTGTGCAAAGGTGCTAAATCTGTGAAGCAGGTACTACCATGAAGGTGCATGTTCTTCACACCCCCAGTCTGCAGCTGCACTGCGCATTAGCCATGCCATTAGGAGCACAGAGCAGACAAGAGTGGGGCCTGGGAAACTGGGAAGGAAGAAACTGACCTTGGGAAGATAGGGAGAGATCTCAAACCAGGACCAGAGCCAAGCTATGGCTGAACAAAGAACTGGGGCTTCAGGGCTGGAGCAGAGAGAGGAGGAGGAGTTTCTGGAACCAGCTGCAGGGCAAAGGATGGCAGAGAGCCAGTGGGGAGAAAGAAGGGAGGACTGCTGGTCTCTGCTGTAAAGGGTGACAGAGAGGTGTGAGCAGGAGAAAAGATGGAGGAATCCAGAAAGAAGAGCAGAAAATGAAGAAGCAGTTCTCATAGGGGTGAAAAGGAAGTGAGTGGGCAAAGAAACTGGGATGCTGTATAGGAAAGAGTGAGAAACTGGGTTTAAGTTAGAACAAAAGAGAGACAAAATGGACTGGCTGAGGAGTGAAAGGAGGGAATGAGAAGAGCAGGACAAGGCAAACTCACCAGGATCATCTGGACAAGACACAAGAGCTCCTGCAGGGCTGCCTAAGCTTGTGCAGCATGGCGAGGCTGTTTGTCAGATCTCTGTTCCCCCCAGTACAGGGGATGCTCAGGGACCATGGCAAGACACCTCCTGCAACAGCCCCCTAAGTTCTGTCCATCACTGCCACCAGACTCCTCAGCGATGCTCATCACCTCACAGAGCCGATGCATTCCCCTTTTCTGGGTGCCTGCTTCACACCTCTGGCTGTGACACCGGGGAACGCTCAGTTGCTGCTGCACTAAAATCTGCTTTGGCTCTGAACAGTGCTGTGTCCTGCTCAAGTCTCTGAAAAACTGGATCCCAGGACCTTCTAATCTTGTACTCAGCACCCACCTCTGCTTTCCTGATGTGACTCCTTGTCCCCCAGGAGGTGATGAAGCTGCTTTTTAAAAACATCCATGCAGATGTTGACCACGGTTATCAGCAACACAGAGGAACCTGTGAAAATATTAACAGTTCTTCCCTCAGAGGATTCAGTGGGGGGGAAAGCAAGCACAGGACTGTGCACTGATCAGCTGCTTTCTGAGTGAACACTGTGTGTGTGAGTGAAACAGAAAGTCTATGGAAAAACGGTTGCTGATCACAAATTAGAGACTGAATCTCAGTGTCTAGGTCCTTTGGGGGATAAAATCACTTTGATCCAGTCCTGGTGTTCCATAACTTTTGAGTGACAGATTTGGCATTTTAAGGGAAGGAAGGTAGAAGTGTTGGTGAATCTTTGTGTGACCAAATAGTTCTTTGTTATGATGTGCTGCAGTGTCCTGTTTCTGTACTAACTGTACTAATAACACCTACACAGAGAATAGGGTACCATGAGAGAGTCCAGAAAGGTTTCTCCAACTGTTTCTCAACAGCTGGAAAGCCAGCATTATGTGATACAAAGTGAGATAAACATATGGATATGTATCATCTCTCTACAAATGTTGCCTCCATGTAAATTTTACCCTTCAAAAATGTCCTTCAGCTTTCTTACTGGAAATAGTTGTGTCTATAGAGTTTCCATGTTTGCTCCATAGATAAGTACTGCTGAATATGAAAGGGACTTCAGATTTGGTAAAGCACAAGTTGAAATCTGAACAGTTCAACTTCCAGAGTAAGGGGAAAATGTGTAAACAAGAACACAGTTAAGACCATCAGCACATGTATTGCCAGCATCAGAAACCCTACACAAGTATCGAAGCATCATAGAATGGCTTGGGTTGGAAGGGACCTTAAAGATCATCTAGTTCCAACTCCTGCCATGGGCAGGGACATCTTTCACTAGACCAGGTCACTCAAAGCCCCATCCAACCTGGCTGTGAAGGAAGCAAGTGTAGCAGGAGGCCACAAGAAGAAACTGATTGCATTGAAAGCTGTGCTTTGTTACACAGGATGGACAGCTCAAAACAAACCAAAACAAAACAAAGCAAAACAAAATCACACTTCTCCAGGACAGAAATACTCAGCTTTGTACCAAGTTCTTGTATAAGCACTCATCTTGGAAACATAGGGCAAGTCAGAACAACTGATGAGAAGCAACCCTTGTCCAGGCTTGGGCATTCGTAGCACCTTCTGGAAGCAGAATTCACACCACACTCCACCACCACTATCCTGAGGGGACCACTTATAAGGCTGAAGCCACAAGGACCTACATTTGTTTCGATATTCTGCTACAAGTTTGCTAGAACATGTTCAGTATCTGTCAAGCAGAGGGGCAGCTGAAGGGAAAAATCAGGCAATACAAGGGCAAACAAAACCAAATCAAATAAGAAAGGGGGGAAAAGGATATGGACATCAGTGGCTGGACAGGCTCCAAGCGCTAATGCCTGGAGCCACTTGCTGAATACTGTTAGTACCTAATATGCAAGATGACAGGAGGTAATAGAATTAAACTTTGACATGAGGGATACCGCTAAGTACCTAATGGAATTACTGGCAGGGGCAGGGAGCAGGAAGAGAGAGGCTGGTAAAGATATTTATTACAGTCAAATATTGCCCCCAGAAGGAGAAGTACTGATCACTATCTCATGCCAGAGGCAGCACTATAAGCAGTGCCATGGCTATTTCTGATGTTTGCTCTCATTATATATATTCCATTGGTTACACCGGTTGTAAATCATATTCTTGAAGACTTGATGAATCTTGGTGTTTCTGTAGATACTTCTCTTGCTCTTCACTTACCTGAATATCCTTTAAGGAACAGCAGACACCAAAAGCAGCCAGGAACAGAAATAAATAAATAAATATATAAATAAGATACCTCCACGATCTGACATCCAAACAGGAGGATTTGGCTCCATGAAAAATCTGGCATCCCTCCCTCATTTATTTCCTCAGCACAACTAGCAGGAATGTCAGGAGATGATCATAATAAAGAAACTTCCGCACTTTTGGCTATAATCAAGTCTGGTTGGAGTCTAACCTGAATCTAGGAAGGAGGATTTTAATACAAGCTGTGCCAATGGGATAATTACCAATAATGCCACATTTCTTACCCTTTGCAGTGGGAATTACTGAACGAGACTCATCCAAGTCCTGTAATCACCCATTGGATGGAAAATCTTTGGTAAGTAAATACAGCAAGACCAATCACCACTGTCTGATGCATCTTAAAACCTGTCAACGTGTCCCACATTAATCATGTGCAGCATGTCAGTCTCTTATAGCATGTGCAGATTTTGCAGTCTTTGTTAAGGCCTTGAAACATGATTTATGCCAGAGGAACCTTAGCTAGGAGAGGAGACTGGCACAGGACAGCTCCCCTCAAGGAAGGGTGGTGGGATGGAAACAGGTAGGCTCAGCCACCCGCAAGACCTGGGAGGAATTAGCCTCTTGTTTCTCAGGGAATTTCACAAATTGGGGAAAATAAATCATTTTAAAGTGGAACAAGCATCAAATAATTATATTCTTAGAATGCCAGCTGGACATGGTAATCAGATCAATGGAAATGCTGATGAAGAATTAATGGGAAAATAATCAAACAAAACCCCAAAATTTGTTCTGTATTGGAAAGACAAAATGCTTTGGTTAAAAATGACTCAGCTTTACTAAAACATTTTCCTTCCCTTCTTTTTCTTAAAAAAAAAAAAAAAAAGAACCAAAAAACCCTCTACATTTTACAAAAACTAGATTTTCAAACAGAAAATAGTCCTTTGAAAAGTTTCTGGAAAACACCAGACCATGCTATAGAAACCTGATGGCTTCAAATGCTCTTCTGGATGGCTGCAATATACTTGCTAGCTGGTAGCTGGGATACACTCAATAAAAATTACTGTACAATGTTGAAGGATGGTCACAATGAATAATATTCTGTGTAATGAAAGTAATTGAACTTACCAAAAATTAACCCAGTTAAATTTCAAAGTCTGCTTTCAAAAGTGATTTCAAACATTTCTGTAAGTCTTGAGATGCTTGCAGAGCTCACCAAAACATATCCAGTCTCAGATTAATCCCAGGGGAAATAGCTGTAGACAACTGTCATGGTTTAAACCCAGTCAGGCAACTTGTTCACTCACTCCCAGTGAGTGGTGCTGGGCTGACAACAATCGAGGTCCGTCCCCCCCCCCACCCCCCCCGGGGCTCTCCCCTTCCCCGCTCCCTGAGGAACGGGGAGGAGGATTGAAAGAGTGCAACTCCTACAGGTTGAGACAAGAACAGTCCAGCAACCAATGTACAACACAAATCACCACCGCTACCACCAACTGCAACAATGATAAGGGAAAATAACAAGGGAAGAGAATACGATACCACCAGCCAAGAAATGAGTCCCACCCGGAAGCCCGTGTCCTTCCGGGTAACTCCCAGTTACCCCCCACCCCGGGCATGACGTGCTGTGGTATGGAATACCTCCCTGGCTAGCCCGGGTCAGGCGCCCCATCTCTGCTTCCTCACAGCTTCCCCTCCTCCCTGGCAGAGCATGAGCCTCACAAAGTCCTTGGCCAGGGTAAACATCACTTAGCAACAACCAAAAAAATCGGCTTCACCAACACTGTTCCCAGGCTGGAAGTCAAAACACAGCACTGCACCAGCTGCCATGAAGGAGAAACATGACTGCTACTGCTGAACCCAGGACAACAACATAAGACCAATTATACTAGTGGCAATAATATAAAAATGGTTTTCAGTATTGACAGTAAAATCAGTGTGGTTATTGCCTTAAATGATGAGAGTGCATCACAATTTCTGGCAACCCACACTTTAGCTTGCCATCTTGGAGGCTATGCCAGTCTCATGGTCAAATGAGACAAGAGGAAGGCAATGATCAGGCACTTGTGTGGCTATGGCAGAACTGGGCAGGAACCAGGGACCCTCATGCCACTGAGCAGCACTCAGAAGAGCAGGGAAACATTTCTAAACACCCAAGGGAGCAGTGATGTCTGGGACAGCTGGCCCCCAGGCAGCCACAGAGGTGGCCTGTGGAGAGCTGCAAGAGGTGGGCTGCCCGGTCTGCTCAAAGCCTTGACTCTTCAGGAAGCTAGGCATGAAACCTAAGGACTAGAAAGTTCTGCAAGCCTCCCTCCTTCGATGGGAGGTGTAATTCTTGCTCATACAAGCCCTGTGTTGAGTTTAGCAAGAACATTCATGTGAGTCATCTGTACTTGTGTGGTAAGAGTTGGGCAGTCAAATCCTTAACCTGCTTTCTCTTTGTAGGAGATCCACAGTATTTATTGATTTTCCTAAAACAGCCTCTTTCCTCAGACAAACCTGTGCTCCCTGCTTACCAGTAGCACTTCCTAATGATGTGCTTTTTTCTCCTGCAGATTCCACCATCTCCAGTTGCCCACATCACTGTGAAAGCAGTGGCTGTCACAGATTCACCCACAGGCAACAGCACTTCCATGGAAGAGTAAGTCCTGTCCCACCCTCTAGCCAAGCCTGGGGAGCTGCACGAGGTGTGACGCCAGGCAGGGAAGGGGATGGGGCACCTCTGCCACAGGTCACCTGCTCACCAGAAACACAGAGAGGTGCTCATCTGCAGATCTGTGAATCAGAGCCGTAAAACCTCAGTGATTTACAGTAAAGCCATGCTGCTTACTTCCCAAAAGTAGGGAGAGATTAGCTAAAGGACATGATTATTATATTGTCAGCCACAGCCATTTTTACAGCTGCCCTGGTGCCAGTTACAGCTCTGTTTTATTACTAGGAAAAAAAATCTGAATTCAAATTTTAAGTATTTTCCCCCTAAGAAGTCTATAATATTTGCCCTGAAGCAGCTTAAAAAATTTAATCGATTTTTAAATGAAGTACAATTAAGGAACATGTTATCCCTAGTACAAATGCACTCATCACTAGGCAGTTAACCCAGACACACATCAGGGTGATACTTGAGATCCCACCATTGCCATCTGAGGGAGAGTAACAAGCTCACTGTCATAGTGTCTTCATACTCCACACACAGAGACATAAATACCACTCAGCCAGTGTAAGCCAGTTCAGCCCCCTCAGGTTTTCCATGCCTGGTTGCCGTAAGCCAGGAAGAAGGGCCATGGAAACAAATGCTTTACGTGTCTGTGCTTTATTTGCTAGTCACCAGCAGCACTGGAGGAAGGCAGCAGAGTACGACCTGACCCTGCCCGCAGGAGCAGAAGCTTCCCTACCACTGACAGGAGGCAACTTGTGCGGGACGCCCAGCCTCCTGAGGAAGATGTGGATGAAGCACAAGAAGAAGTCAGAGTACCTAGGGGCAACAAACAGTGCCTTTGAGGCAGACTGACAAGGCTCAGCATCACTTGGAAGGATGGACGGTCCTTTAGCCAAGGACAAGGTGCTCTAAGATCAATGAAGGAACAGACACAGCACAACTCATCCAGAAAAACTATATCCTTTTTATTACTTGATGCCATTGCCTCTGAACAGTGGGAGGAAGTCCAGCTAAGGTAAAAATGATGAACATGATTCAACTCACTGGCCTTTCTTTGTTGCAATATACTAAAATCACAAATATCCCACTAGATTTACATCTTGACTCAATGACGCTGAAACTACTCCCAGCCCATTTACCATTTTACATGTCCTGTCTGAATCAGCTTGGACTTGCAACAGGACAAGCCTACCAATAGGTTTGTGTATTCCTGCAAGGCAACATACTGATTACAGAGTGCCATTGAATACCCTCAGTCTGCTCGCTGTGTAGCACTTCTTGTCCTCTCCCCCCCTCATATCACGAGGTAAAACCCACACCTTATGATATGCTTGGTCGAATGACATACACTAAACGTATTTCTTTTTTCTACAGTGTTGATGTTTTAAGACAGGAGTAAAAGATGCAAAAATTGTAACAGAAAGTGTCAGAACGCAGCAAGTTTGCAAACACACATTTACCAAACTTTGCTATGTGACAGGTGATTGGTGTTTCAAAGTGTCCTGACAGATCAAACTGTGAGCCACTCGATAACCTCAAGATACTTTCTTCCACAGAACCTGCTTACATGTTAAGTGGTAGTCAGAAATTTACCTATGTGGTACAGGAATTTCACTAAGTGTGCAACATACTAGGAGGAGAAAGAAAATATGCAAATGGTGCAACTAGGTGACTAAAAGTGAGATATTTGCATATAGAAGACCAGTGCTTATGGACAGGTGGAATTCATGGAATTTGCTGTAAAATCTTTCTCGACTTCTTTTTTTCAATTTAGGAATTGCAGGTCATGGCCCATTGGGATTTTCTCTCACCACAAAAAAAGTTTTACAGAAAAGATTTCACTGTCATCACAGACAATATTTTACCAGTCATGAACAGTACTTGCCTCGCCTGAGTACTCCTCTCATTATTAAGGGAGGCTGTGGCTTGCCTAAATGCAGACTTTAAATATAAAACTGAAGGAGGCATTTCTCCTGTTGCTCACGATAATGATGATCTTCTGTAATCTAACTGCCAGTACACCAAAGCGTAAATGAAAAATGAAAAAAGTCTTACTCTATAACAGAAGCACAGGAGCAAAGCTTCCATCTGAAACTTGCTTGCCTGCAGCCAGCATAGTAAAATGGTTTGGAAGGGACCTTAAACGTCATCCAGTTCCAACCGGGCTGCCATGAACAGGGACAGCTTCCACGAGACCAGGTTGCTCCAAGCCCCATCCAACCTGGCCTTGAACACTGCCAGGGATGGGGCAGCCACAGCTTCTCTGGGAAACCTGTGCCAGTGCCTCACCACCCGCACAGTCACAGTCTTCTCCCTCAGACATGCTCAAACAGCTCACAGAGGACAGCCTTGCAGCTAGAAATCCCAGTCTCTCCCCTCCTGCTTACCAAAGGCAGACATCCTTCTCTGGCGCAGCAGCTTGACAGAGGGATGATCTGCTCTCCTGCTTTTCTTTCATCCTTCTGGGAAAGGAGAGCACAGCTCCTTGTTACCCACATGCTAAAAGCCCCCAGCTGCTGGCAAGGCAGGGAGAAGAGGCAATGGTGACCCTGCATTGACCATGTCAGCATGCAAGAGCAGTGCTGACTGCTGCTGAAGGCTGCACACATGAACATCACCAGAGCAGTTTTCTCCCAGGGGTACACCCCACCTTTAAATAAGAGCCTGACACACTGGCCCTGGGTAATAGTACAGACACCGTGGCCTTGCCAACATCAGGTCTTCCATGACTGAATCAAACCGGAGCCATGGCCAAGACTTTCCTGAAATGTCTATTATAAATCTCACCAACCACACCACACCCCCTCCCCAGCCCCAAAAAATTCTGCCAGAAGCCTTGGCCTTTAGGCTCATGCTATTTTTATGTGTATCAATAAACCCAGTAAATTCAGTAGGACTACTTCCTTGCACAACAATGCATGCACACGAGGAGTAGGGAGAACAGTAATTGCCAGTTCCTTTTTTTGGTCTCATTACCTAAACAAAAGAAAAATAAATAAGACAGGCAGACACTGGGACAAGTCTATTTGCTGAATTGGGGGTAATTAAGAAAGTGAGTATTTGCGCTACCTGCCCTTATGTGACCTATAGAGCACCCTAACACACAGTCCAGGGCAGCAAGAGTTTTGTCTGTTGAGAAAGCTGTATCATAGTATTTCATTTGTTAATTACTAGTTTTAAGCAGTAGGAGGATGGAGGCAAAGAGGAGATGATTCATGCTTCTACCTAATAATTGCTGTATCTTGAAATGTGTATTTATGGTTTTCTTATTTATTTAATTTATACTTTGGATCTACAAGAGGAGAGATTTACATGAAGCATATTTAATTTCTCTGTATTTGAGGAACTGCTGTGGAGATTTCTTGTACTGTAGTAGATACTTGGTTTATTGATTTGACTAAAATATGCCCTATTCATAAAAAAAAAAAATAATAAAAGAAACAAGTAGCATGTGATAACATATGGGTCTTGGTGTTTAAAAGCTTTTGCGAAGCATTTAGTGGAAACTAAAGGGCAGGTTTATGGTACTGAAGAATGTGAACACCTTATAGCAAAGAAACCAGATTTTGCTCCCCACGGAAAAGCCTGGAAATGTATGCTTGTGTGTGGCTTCAATATTTTACGTGTGGTGGAATATTATTATCAGATACTCAGAGAAAAGGCCCAGTACTGCCAAGCAGTTAGACATCAGATACACATCTACACACAAGGCTTCAAGTGGGCACAACATTTAGTCTCCCTCTGGCCCTGGGAGATAAGCAGTGTCACCACCCTCCCATCAAATAAGAGAACCAAGACAGAGGGGGTAGTTAGGGCCCTAGTAGAGAATAAAACCAAGCGCTGCCCACCTTCAGACCCACCAGTTGGCAACAAAGTCACTTGTCTCCAACACAACACCATCTTTGGAGATCCTATGCTGAATGACAGCCCAAGCCGAGGTAGGTGACACAGGGACACAGGAGCCCAAGCTTGGGGAACTGGCTCAGGAATGCAAGGGTAAAGACTTTAAGACACAAGGGAAGAAAACGTATGGTGTTGGCATCCCTCATCAACCCAGCCCTTGAAAAGCCTGTCTGCTAAGAATGACTTGTCCCTGCTGCACTGCCTGTACCTCGAGCAGCTCCTCTGCCGTGTTTCTGGTCCTGCCATTGCAGACAGTGTCTACATTTAACATGAGCAAACAGGGAGTGTCCTCGCAGTGAATGTCTCCACCACAAGGCTTAGCACAGATTTTTCCAGGGTGTGGGGTAACCACCTGGCCAATGCTGGGCACCCCTCTGCAAATACCCAACATTTAGTCATGCATTAAAAATACCAGCATGAGTATGGAGGAGGATGCGGATAGTCAATACATTTTCCAGATGAAACTGTACAGAAAGCAATGTTGGATTGACTCCAACGCACTGTCAGAAAAATGTGAAATGGTGATTAACAAAATTAGTGAATGTACCATTTTCCATCAAAGACAGAAAAGTTGTTAACTGTGCGGCTGAAAGCATCGCCTCTGGCGCTGCCTGGCACATGGGTGTTGTCGTAATTGATAACATCTGTGAGAACATGCACTCTTCAGACTTATTTAATGCCATTTCATGACTTTGGGTTCTCCGGAACTGGAGATTAACTGAGGCACTGACCTGACTGCAAAACACTGCATTATGACAGCCCATCACACATACAGTCATTTGTATATTTCATTTCCAAAAAAGGGGTTCCAATTTCCTCTCACCCTTTCAAAAACATCTTTGCGATAGAGCTGCTCACTAAAATATCCATCATTACTTTGCATACCACTTATTTAAATAAACTGTAGTGATTTAAAGCTAGGCTACTATTTAAAGTAATTCCTACTGGTGCATGAACAAAGAAATCTCAGATACGCTTCGCTTGCCTTTTTTCCCCTTTTGCACTCACTTTACAGATCCTGCAGCAAACAGGTTTGCCAGAAGAGCTGATCAAGGACACGTCAATGTTCGGGGGAACACCATACACTTTTCACAGTAAGTATTTTTAGCACAACCATTGGCATCTGCAGAATAATTTCACACCTTAGTTTCCCCGCCGGAAAAGTTGCAATATCAGGACTTGCACAGACAAACCAAACTGAACCAAGTCAGATTTCTCAGATGAAGCCTCTTCTCGGAAAGTCCAATGCACACCCTACAAACAATGTAGATGTCAAATAGCCATAAATATCTTATGAGATTTTGAAAATCTCAGCATTAACACCATAGGTTGTTCACGAGTGAGCAGCTCAACCCTACATGGTATTGAAAACCTTGAATTTTTTAAGTGGCAGAACTATTATTTAAGTGGACTGACACAAAGATCAGTAAAATAAGTCCTGAATTGTTTAGAAGGAAAAAAGAGTTGAATATTCAATGAAGTTAGGCGAAGGCTCAGAAAAAACGAGCAGCTGAACTCACAGGGGTGCAATTCAGGATGAAATGGAAGCACATGTGAATGTTGTCCCTCTCCTCAGCCACCAGGTTGGAGTCACTGCAGAAACAGGCATCGTATTTAACAGCCTTATTCACAAGCCCGATGGAGCAGCCAGAGGCCACACAGCTGACCAAAGGCAGATCAGCACTGACACTCGCCCACAGCCTCCAGTCCCAGTGGGGTGTTCCACCCAGTCGGACCTCCTGCCCTGCAGGTTCACCTGCACAGCATCTTACTCTGCTTTATTTTAGAGCAACGTTCTCCTACTGCACCGTCACATTTTGCATAGCAGTGAAATAGCCAGGGACAGCACACGATCTGTTGCCCTGCCTTTCTTTGCCGGGGGGGGGAGGCGTGCGCTGGACCATAGAGCAGAAGAGACATGCAAAGAGCCCTGCAGCATGCATGATCCTTCTCCCCAGGTGTCTGACAAGGCACTTTTGGGTGAAGAGAGCCCTCAGTGCAGCTGTGCCCAGAGCTGGTGCTGCGAAACCAGCCCCTCTGCCAAGGCCTTGTCTGCTCCGCATGCTGCCAGCAAAAGCAAAGGTGGGGTTCAGGAAGCAACAGCATCCTTGTCAAAGCTGTGGTCTGAGTAACGAGCCAAACCTTCAGAAGTTTCAGGCTGCTTTATCCCAGGAGCGCAGTGACAAGCGTAGCAAGACTATTTAACTGTCAGACTGCACAGAAAGTCCTGGAAGTGATTTTTTTTCCTCATACAGACATTAACCTTTCCCATGAAAACTGCAACCTTATAACTCCTTTATAGCTCTATCCCAGAACCCTCATAATCTGGGGTAATCTGGGTATCTGTCATTTGTCCTTGTAAATTTGGATGCAAGCAGTTTTTT